GTATCTTGCCCATTATTTCGAATTTTCTATACAATGCAATCATAAAACTGGCTGTGAAATTTCATTGCATAAACACATTAATTATTCTTGCTCGTCGTACTCATCGGTTTTAAACAGGGCGCTTATATAGAGGGCGGTCAGGAGGGCGGTGAAACCACTGAGCTATACTATATTACTGGAGGACCTGCTCGGCATGAAAGAGTGTCGCCAAAAACATGGCGGCGCTTACGCCATTTCCATGGCAACTGGTCCGAAGTCTCCATGGTAATTGCCACTGACCAACCGCGATCCGAAGCATTAAACAAAGTCCAGCACCCCCCTGTTTTTACACAAATATTTCAGAATTTAGACTTTACTAAGAGGTTTTTGGTTGTTTTTGAGCAAGAAAATCTTTCCCTCGCACTTTACTTGTTTTACGATGTGGAGGAAAAGTGCCGGTTTGTTTCGTTTGTTCATGCAACAATTCACTATCAAGAAAGATTAATAGCTATTCTTTCAGGTAAGATTCATGAAACTATTTTTAATTTGTAGAAGCTTGCTAGATATAAAATGACTCTCGAAATGAGTAAAATGACTATAAATATATAACTATATAAGTCAAAAACTCATGCTACTATGTATATATATACAGCAAAATTAATATTTCAATCCATTATTGATTAAATAGCCTCTGGAACCGGGGTACGGACACATAAATCATGTTTATTATCGTTGAAAATTGTGGACATGAAATTATGTTGTTTTGTGTTTTTTATTGCCAGTTTTTAATATAAATTTATAATAATTGTGGTTGTTCACTTGCTCACACGGTCGTACAGATTATATATGGTGTGAATCAGGATTAATATATAGATAAGCACAAAGACCTCTAGTGTGGACTGTGGGACAGAGGGAACAAAATACCCAGGACCTGGGAGTGTTCAAAGCAGTGTGCAAAACAGCAAAAGTTGGATAAGCATGATTGCTTGCCTATGTGCTTAATTTATAGAGAAAAGATATGGTATAACTGAAACTTTCTTTTGAGCTAAATTTAACAATCTCTCTCAATAGGGTAACAGCAAGTGATAGTCCAGAAACCGCACAGACTTCATGTCCCGTGAACAAGGCTGCATATTGCATATTCCCCCACAATGAGCGAGTCGCACTGAGCTTGGACAAGCAAGTCCTACTTTTGCCAGGCTTTTTGTAGCAGTGTTTATATATGGGGTTGTAGGGCAGTGGTGGCCACTTATTGTGGGGGGGGGGGGTGATTTAGGTTGCCACCATATGACCGTGCACTTTAGGTTGTTGGATATCATACTAGTTCTTTAAATTTTTTTGCCTTAACCCATGGAGCACCAGTGTGCTCTCCCCTTGACAAGTAAAATTGTCTGGCATTGTCAGACAGATCGAGTAAAATAATCTGGTGTTAGACAGAGTAAGATTAACTAAAGTTGGGCACATTGGGTATGCAGATAGTTTGATTTATATTCCATTGAGTGCCATGAGCACTCTCCCCTTGACGAGTAAAATAGTCATGCATAACCATGCAGAAGATTGTCTGATTAACCCACTGAGTGGCAGTGCTCTCCTCTAAAGTACATTAGGGTGCATTGCCACTTAAAGGGTTAACATTATTATATGTAATACATATTATATTTTTGTTAATTACTAAAGACGTGTAATTATAACATGATTGTGGTATAATGTTTACTTATCTTTTTTTGCAGGATTTATCTGTTTATTAATACTGGTACCAGAAGAGATGGCACAGGATGCCAAAATGGAGAACAAATCGAAGTTATGATAATAATTAGTCACTCACCAATTACTGTAGTCAAATATAGTTATGGTGCAACTCTTTTTTATTGACAATAAAGAGTACTACACAAAGTCACATTTGATTTTTTAATTCACACTACATTAAATCTAAATGTAAATCTTGTGTCTAAATGTAGTATGTACATGTTTGTACAATTGTACAGCAGGGACTGAGAGAGCAGAAAATTGTATATTATTATATTGTATTAAAATATATTCAAAGCACCAACAGCAACCTTTTATCAGATTTATAACACAAGGCAATACCCAAGTGTTTTAATAGATCTGATGAAACATGTACTGTGAGTGTTTTGAATAACTTAAGAAATGATGTATTTGATAAATTCAAAGATGAAGTTTATGTAAATCTGATCTCTTTTTGAAATTTGTAGATGTGTCTTCCTTCAATGTTACGTCCCTCCAGGATTTCGTTTACCAGAATTGCAGTCCCCTTTTCATCTGGGAAAATCTCAGGTCCCCCCAATTTCTCACCCATCCCCCCCCCCATCAATAATGAATGCCCCCTTATTAATGTAATTCAATACAATTTTCAATGACTATATTAAATACTTTTTGTCATAAATACTAAATTACAGTACATATTATGTAAATATATAAATTTTTCATAAACATTTTGTGATTTCTATTTCCAAACCTAGAGCTCAAATCATTGGTAGTTACTTGACCTCTGAAAATATGTTTAATGTAGTGATGGATATTGGATTGGTTCTGAGAAAATTATGAGTCAAATATAAATTTACATTTTAAAAACAAGTACATTTTTATACATCCCCCCCCCCCCGGCCGGCCCCAATGCCTGAATAACTATCATTGCCTCAGTTCAACTATTTCAACAAATCTAGTATATGCCAGTCTAGTATTTCGTTTTCTTTACAAAACTAGTAGTGTTACTTAAGCACGTCTTTTGATTCCTGCTGATTAGCAAAGGTTGGTACAAAAACCTCCAATTTTCAGACCTTGAGGATTGCAGCTATAATTTCATGACCACATGCAGTATTCCACCAATGCATCAGATTCCTCAAATTTGCCACTGACAATACCTCTCCCTTTTAAGAGAACACTTCTTGATCTAAAAAATATAATGCAGTTTAATTACTATGATCTAAAAACTACATATTAATTTAATGAAGCAGACCGGCCATGTATTCTGTATGAGAAAAATGTAGAATCGAGAGATAATGTCTATTCTTGTGCAAATATTCCTATGTTGACCACCAACTATTACATGCAGTAAGTGCATGTTTGGTGAGAAAAGGGTTTTACATGGCAATGCTGACATACATCACTAAATGTTGAAGGGTTTTTGTAGATGAAAATTTTGAGTGTAAATTTTATACATTTTAGACATGGTTAAAGCAGCTGCAAAAGATGCAACTATATTTTTAGGTTGGTAAGGTCTAAATATGTATAAAATTCACACTTAAAAATATTTGTCTAGTGATGCTACCTTCAACATTTAAAGTTCTGTTGAGTGTGATGTCCAAAATCCTGACATTTACCCTAACTTACACCTTACTACAGGCTTCACCTTATGATATTTACATGAATTAATTTGCAACTGCAGCTCGACAACTGTAACTGATCGGTATAAATTGGTTTGAACACTGCATCAGAATCACTGATGGCTGCAGGTTTATTCCTGTCTTAAGGGCCGGTCTACATACAATGCTGCTTAGAAATGCTTTCATTATAAATAAACTGTTTGAAAAGTTGCATTGTACCTTAATGCACCCTACTTTATATAAATTGATCTGTAAAACACCAGACAATTTTACTTGTCGAGGGGAAAGCACTGGTGCTTAAGGAGTTTACAATCAGGTGTATAATGACACAAAAATTGTCCCCAATCTACCAGTATTTTATAGGTAGACAGAAAGTTGGTGCATGTTAATAAACACAAACCTTACACTAACACATAGTTTCATCAAGTGTATGTTTATAGAAGTAATAAAACGAGACCTCAAGTCTCAGCAGTCAATCTTTTTAACATTATTACACCAGATAGTTTGCACTTTAGACAGTATATATCATACAAAATTGTGAATATAAAATCTTTGTTGTTTGAACGTCTATTAAATATTTGTGAATACAGCTTGTTAAAATGGGAAATTTTACACCTTACAGTGTAAAATTTGGACTGTAGAAAGCTGAAAGCTTGTTTTCGTAACAAATGAAGTGTATTTCATCGTTAGGCTTACCAATTTCATGTCAAATAAGATAAAGAATGAGTAAAATTGACTAGACATCCCTACCTTTTACCCGACTCAAGTATCGTCTTTAATTAATACTCTTTTCCCACATTTCTCGAGGTTTTGTTTGGCTTTCGCGGGCGAGAATAACACGTACGACTTGCATACCTTTAACCAAATGGTCAAAGGTAGTAAATATATCTCAAAATTTATACAAAAAATTTAAAACAACGAGAACTATAAATATTTATCTGCAAAAACCATATCTTTTGCAAAAAAACAGGGGGGTGTGAAAACTGCCGTGGGCTCAGAATTGAGCCTGGTCAGTGGTAACTACCATGAGGTTTTCGGACCAGTTGCCATGGAAATGGCGTCATATGGCGTCAAAATCCGCCATGTTTTTGGCGACACTTTTTTGACTGACGAGAGATAGGAGCAGGTCCTCCAGTTATTATACAGCTCAGTGGGTGAAACGCGCGATGTCGCGCTGATCGATGTGTGATGCGGAAAAGGACTGGCACGAGCGTGCTTTCCGGCAAAAGTTGACAAAAAGCGTGATTTTTCCTGCTGTTGTATTTTTGCTGTTTTTTCATTAACTACGAAATTCTTGAGGATGTTTTTGCACTGTAACGACGAAGTAATAACTAGTGTATCGTACGAATGCTTGTTTGGCCTGTATAGTTGAATTTTGAAAGACATATTGAGGATAATCAGTCGGGCTTTTGATGACTTCAATGAAGGGAAATTTTCAAAACAGCATTTGGGCATGTTATCAAGTCGTCCAAACTTCGAAATTCAGTTGATGGTAAAGATTATAATTATGTGCTTATCTCCAAAAGTTTTCATAAAACTCGGAGTTGAGCAATTGAATACACAGCGTTGGAAAGTGAGGTATTTTTGTGTGTTAAATTTTGCCTAATTAGACCATTATTTCGCTGCAAAAAAATAAACAACAATTGTATTTTGGCCATGTAGTGATTTTTGGTTATTATGTTAATAATTTTCTACGACTTTTAAGGCATTCAATTGAAGTAATTCTGAGCCGTAAACATATTTTACTTCCTGGCCTTTGAATCAAAATACGACTCGCTCGGACGTTTGTTGAGCGCAATAGTCGAAAAAGTTTTGTCCCAACTTTGATTTTTTTTGACCGGCTGGCCAAGACAACTTCTCGTAAGGATTCGTTAAAAAAATACAAATTCAAGTTGAGCATTTCTTGATTTTCAACTGAAAAGATCAACTAGTGGCTAAAATTAATTGTGAATTGTATTCTATCGAACGTGAACGATACGTGTACATCCGAAGAGTTTTAAAAACCTTTCACGTCATGCTTCTTGCGAAAGCAACCGTTCGTAAGCTTTCGCAAGCGTTTTGAGCAAAAACTCTAAAATATTGGCAGTATTACCTGAAAATACAATAGCAGAATCTACTAAATTATCGTATAACATCGGAATTTTACCCCCAATATCTATTTCTTTATCAAAACTTGACTACAAAACAGTCAAAACTTCCAGCTCAGTTTTCCCGCCATATTTATCCATGCCATATAGGACAACGTCGCCATAGTAACCACAACAAACTCGTTACCAGTTCATTGCATCACACATCGATCGGCGCGCCTTTAGCCGTTTCACCGCCCTAAACCGCGCCTTAAACCGCCCTATATATAAGCGCCCTGGTTTTAAACTACTCTTGCGCGGAAAAGCGTATTGCCTAAACTAAGCGTATTGCCACGCAGGCTACGCGGAAGGCGGCTTATTTACATCTCTGTGCGTGTATTTCAGAGGTTGTATTTAGTGGCAATAGTACGAGATTGTTTTAGTGGTGGAAAGTTTTTATACTAATTATTAAATACTTTTACACGATGCAACTGTCTAAAAATTACGGTTGCCATAGAGTTTTTACAGTATAATTAAACCCAAAACTGTCAAAAGCAATTGACACTCCGCAAGTTGTGTTGTGTTGTGTTGTTGTTGTGTTGTGTTGTGTTGTGTTGTGTTGTGTTGTGTTGTGTTGTGTTGTGTTGTTGTGTATCAGTTCACGTGTCAATCAGCTGTAGCGCATTGTATGTTGGACAATAGCGCATTGTATGTTGGACAAACACGCCGACACATTCACACACGTATCTCAGAGCATATGGGAGTCTCGCCTTTGACTGGAAAAGAACGCTCTATCTCAACCATGTCTAGTATACTCGCTCACAAACACATGCGCAAACACCCAGTCTCCGCTTCTGATTTCAAAATTCTATCATCAGGCACTTCTGAGTGGGATTATTAACCTTAACTATACTAACCCTGCACTTAACATTAATCTTTACTTATTAACTAGTTACTAGTTACTGATAAGTTGTTTTTCTTTCTTTCTATTCATTTGTTCTTTCAAATTATGTAACCGTTTTTGTAATGTTAAACCATTATTTTGTAAACATTACATACCATACCCTGTAAATTCATTTAGATTGCTCTGAAGATGTTGTATTGTAAACAACGAAACGTTAGCTAATTAAAATTTTTACTTTTATTATGGTTTTAAAGTTATTTGCTGGGCTTTGCATGCTCTTTATTATTAAACTCCGCAAGTTGTTAACATTTTCATTCTCTATGTTTCGATTACAGTTAATGCCACCACGTTTTGTAGTGAGATTTAGAGATATAGGTAGTTGGTTTTTAAAAAACGTGCATTCTGAACATGACTAACAATCACGTGTAAGCACGGTAATAATTAACCGTGGTGTAAGCGGTGTTCTGTTTATTAATACCGTTATTAATATGTCACAAATATGTCACACGTGTTGATTCTAATCACGTTCTAATTGACAATCGCTCACTTGATCACTGTTATTGTGAGTGCTTTTATTCGCGTTTTAAGCGACGAAATTGGTATAACAGCGCATTTTTCTTGAACGTTTACAAAATACAGTAAGTAAACCATTTATTTTATCGTTTCTTATGTTTTAAAGCGTCGCTTGTAGTGCATTTTTGCTCCTTGAATTAATGATAATCGGGAATGCACGTTGGCGCCATTTGTACATTTCAACTTACTACTTTTTTGCTGACACTGTACTCGAATATAATGTGCTTTGAATATTGGTCAGTATTATACTGTAGCAATGTTTCTAACTGCATGAAAAATGGCGTTTATTTGTACCGTTGAATGCGTACTTTCGTTTTTAGTGTATAATTAACGGTGGGGGGCCCGCTTACTGAACCGCTACTTTGTAAACAATATTCTTCGTGCTTTCCTCTATTTTTCCTTTTATGCCATTTCGTCTTTGACTGTTTTACACTATTAAACAACTTTCGTTGGTTGAAAGTTGAATCTTTCAAGTTAATATCAAGCAGGCAACTGAGTGTTTCTTTTTAAGCAAATGTACATTGTACACTAGTGCCGATAAACCTGCATCTAAATCGTTAATGACAATACACTTCTAAAGGTTCGAATAATGCAAATCATTAAAAATTTGCACAGCGTTAATAATATAGCTTTGCCACTGGCTGATTGTAGCAGAAATTGCTAGTGGGTTTACAAAGTGGTAAGTTCCAATTTGTCTGAATGTTGTCTGTGTGTTGTTGACTGCAAATCTTCAACATTCCTTTGAACATAATTTGCACTTTTGTCCCAATGGCCTCGTTGTACAGTGTGTCCCAAAACTTGGGTAGCCTTTTTTTTTGGGACACACTGTATCCCCATGTTTTGTGCATGTTACTAGTATCTTTAGCCATCCACTGCTCACCACCACCCCCCTCCCCTCTTGCATTTAGGCTTTTCATTGAAACATAAAAATACAGCATTCTGCACCAAGGTACTGTTATTCTGTTCTGAGAATAATTACCCAAACATGTACAAGGAATTTTCACCAATTGATATGGCCGGTTGAATTTACCTCTGCATAAATTATTAATGAAGCAACATAATATGCTATAATTTACAATCTTTTAAGATTATTTAATTAAAATTTTATTCTCAAGTTCACAATGGACAACATCACATTTACAAATGGACCTTCCACTGGGTGAGTGTCTATACTTGTCTAAAGGCCTGATTCCACGAGCGCTTTTTCTCAGCGAAATGCGGATTATTTCGCCTGTTTCTTTTCAATTGCAACCACTTGAATAAATTATTTATACTTGATTGCTCACAATTAAAAAGAAACAGGCGAAATATTTCGCATTTCGCCGAGAAAAAGCGCCCGTGGAATCAGGCCTTTACTTATTCTTTCCCTTACAAAAAAATCCAATTGGAATTCCAGTAGGCAGGGCGGGTGCTAAATGTGGGGAAGGGGTATAACACCCTAGTCGGGTAGTCGGCAAAATATTGAATCTCAGTTGGCGAAATATGGATCTGGATACAAAGAGAAAAAATAAAATTGGTCATTCCAGAAAACATTCATACCTGCACCCCAACGGAGGAAATTGGAAGTACTTTACCCTCCTACCCCCTTCGGATGTCCTATACATTTACTATTATCATTTGTCTCCCCTCCCCCTCCGGACAGCAGAAATTTCCTCCATGGGAGGAGTGTGGATTTTTTCTGGAACGACCCAGTATTGGAGTGACACTTATTAAAAATGATAGCTGAAGGAGGAGAAATTAATTTGCGAAAAAATGAGGGGAAAATGGAATGAGGACTGATAGTTAAATACAAAATAAGATTGAGATAATTATGTTTTCCAGAAAAAAGTTTGATGTAATGTACTGTTGCCGCTACCACCCCCACCTCTCCTTGGCAATTTTGGGAAACACAATATTAATTAGTGGACAGTGACTCGGCCAAATTTGCATTGATATTAGTCAGCAAAATTCTATACCCTGGTTCCAGAGGTTTAAAATAAACCTCTGGTTGAAAGCGGCAACTGATTCATCGAGCCGCGCCAATCAGTTTGAATTAGGGTCAGATCCTGACTTTGTCTCCTGATTGGATAATTGTATTAAAGCTCTCTGATTGGTTATAGATGTTTTATTTGAATCAATCAGAGAGCTTTAATACCGTCATCCAATCAGGAGACAGAGTCAGGATCTGACCCTAATTATTCAAACTGATTGGTGCGGCGTGATGAATCAATTGCCGCTTTCAACCAGAGGTTTATTTTTCCTCTCCCCTTCGCAATGAAAATAATAAAAATAAACCTCTGGAACCACTAGGGTAGCAAAATTCACTTACACACAACCACTCTCCCCAAGGGTGCCTTTTCCGGGAGCAAAGTGCCCTTTTTTTGTGTTAAAAATGTTTTAAGGATTGCCTTTTTTTGCCCAAAGCGCACTTTTCGAAACTTGAATTTATGTTATTTTCCGGAATATTGTTTTTCATTTCCGGAAAAAATATGACATGTCCGAAAAATTTTTTTGTATTTCCGGAACATTTTTTTCATATTTAGGAAAATTGGATATATCCGGAAAAAAATATTTTTAGATGGCCTTTTTTATTTGTCAAGTGCCCTCAAAGCCTGGCACCACCCCCCCCCAATTTTTAGAAGCTTCCTACGCCCCTGGACGAATGTTTTGATTGTTGCGAGGTGCCTACATGATGTCGTGGTGTTTATACTAGAATGTTGTTAAAAGTTAACTAACTCTCGAGTAATGATACGGTAATTGGGGGCTTGAGTGGTCTCATAAGTTGGTGCAGGGGAAAGACACCTCATTCAGGCATTTTCTGAACTGCCACCACGTCATGTCGGCTCCTCGCAACAATGTCAACAATCGAAACATTCGTTCCCCTGAAGATCCAAGCCAATCTGGTCATTTTGAATGTTTTCACAAGGGTGATGAGCAGAGGCTAGAAACATGGTAGCAGGATTAGGCTGATATCAAAAGCGGCAAGGAGTCAGACTGCAATAAGTACACAATAAAATTATACTAGAATACTTTATAGTAGTGTAATTTTCAGTTTGCATCATCAACCTGCAAAATTCCTGTCAACCTGCAAAATTCCAACCTGCAAAATCCCCAACCTGCAAAATTCCAACCTGCAAAATTCCCAACCTGCAAAATTCCAACCTGCAACCTGCAACCTGCATTTTGTACCTCACCGTGTAAATTGGCCCAATTTTAATAATTCCAAATTGGATTTTTTATGTCAGTTTTTATGCAGTACTTAAATTACTGTGAAATGTTTAATGAAATGCATGAAGAGCTAAATTTTTCTACTTTTTTTAAAGTGTTGAGTGTGATGTGGACCAAAAATATTTACCTCACCTCCTTTTGATACCTGCTGTAAGTTTTATTGACATGTTATTTAATTTTGTTTCTTTGATACTATTTATACTTTAACCTGAACGAGAAAATTCAACTCAGTGTTAATGGACATGCAGAGTAAAATAAAGGAGCATTATATGTGACTTGATGACCTTATATATTTGAATTTTCATTATTTTACTCTGTCGATTCTTGACACCAATTATGACTTAAATTTATACTCAATTACCTGTCTAATTTATGAATTGTCTAAATTCACGCCTGACAAAAATGCATACCAAAGCGCCAATATGCTTCAACTTCTTTAATTTTCACGGCGGGTCTAAAACAAAGGTCGGATGTCGCAGGTCACAGGTCACAGCTGTGTCTAAAAAACATGCCTGTTCGCAGCTAGGTCACAGAGAATATAGTGTATCGCAATGACAATTCCTATTATAGACTAATTCTAGGCAAGGATATGCAAATAAATTACTACAGCTAGAAAGAGCATACTAAAATGAGTAAAATTGCAAAGTTTGGTTGCAAATTGTTGTAAAATGCATAAGAAATAGACTTGCAAATTTTGTATGCTTTTGTATCGTGTGCGGAAAATTATACAAAATTTGCGAATTTTGCAAGGCTATATTTTCCGCATTATACAACATTTTGCAACCAAACTTTGCAATTTTACTAATTTTAGTATACTCTTTCTAGCTATAGCGATTTATTTGTGCCTAGAATTAGTCTATAATAGGAATTGTCTATTGCGATACACTATTCTGTGCGACCCGCGATCAGGCATGTTTTGTAGACGCAGCTCTGTCAGGGCTGTAGGACGCTCTTTTTGATTGTGGGAGCTGAAAGCGGGGGCCGAAGGCCCGAGGAAATTTTTAAATTTAGTGTCTCTGAAATGCCATTTCCTGGACTTTGGGGGAAGATTTGACAGATTTCTGATGGTCAAAAAACAGCATTTTAGTACGTAGAAATTTACAATTCAGCAGTACTAAATGGGCAAAGCTGTATTTAATTAACTATATATTGGTTAAGTTGCAGGAAAGTATGAGTAATATCTTCATTCTTTGCAGTTAATGTCATGGATTAAATGATAAAGGTCTGCATGATTTTGAAAAATGAATGATTATTAGCAAATTATTGAGGGGGGGGGGGGGCTGCAGCTCCCCGGTTGCTATGGCTCTGCAGCTGTGACCTGTGACCTGTGTTTTAGACCCGCCGTTAATTTTCATCTTGTTTCTACAAAATTTCCCGTAAACATAGAACATATCAATTCATTATCATTTTTACAAATTGTAAGGTTCTTGTTTTTCGAATTGCTACATTTTTGGCGGGAAAATTACATCGCAAACCTAGCGCCAAAAAATTAACAGTTAGCTATTGGATATCATGATCATGACTCAAATTTCTAAAAATCGGTAATTTTCTTCTGTTTTTAGTAACAAAATGGCCGATTTTTCAACATTTGTACCACTATATCTTCGCGAGAAATAGTTGTATTTACAAACAGAGTTCAGTTTTATGACTCTCAATGTCGTCTACCGAATAAGTGCATAAAATTTACGATAGCTAACTGTTGATTTTTTAGCGCCAAGTTTGTGACGTCATTTTCCCGCCAAAAATGTTGCAATTTCAAAAACAAAAACCATACGATTTGGATGAAAATTAAAGAAGTTGAAGCACGCTGGCGCTTTGGCATGCATTTTTGTCAGGCATGTTAATTACCATGTATATTAGCTAATATATTGTTAATTAACCCATTAAGTTGCAGAGCTAGCTTCCCCATTGACGAGTAAAATTGTCTGGCATTAGACAAGTAAAAAAATAAGTATGGCGCACTGGGGTGCATTATTGCAGCTTAATGGGTTAACTAGAGACATTGTCAGATTTTTTGGTTAACCCATTAAGCAGCTAGTGCAGAGCTTCTCCATTGGCGGCAGGGGTTTCAGAATAAGCCGGCGGCCGGCGGAGTTCCGCCGGCTACTTGAACTTTTACCGCCGGCTACTTTTCGTCTGGTCAAAGGAAAAAAATTATGTACAAAGGTACAAGCGAACCAACACGATGTTTGTTATATTCCAATTGGAATTCAAGCAAAACATCACTTATTTTGGAAGATCAATAAGATCAATAATTTATAGTACCAAACATAGCTTGCTTTCTAAGTTGGTGTCGATATGAATCTTCCTGGAAGATAATTCTGATTGACTCTGACAGTTACTTGAGCATTGCCATTGGGGAATCCGAATTTGACAGTGAGCCAGAGAACCTTCAGAGCCACTTTGGTAAATGTTTTTGGCAAGTGACTAATTCTTTGACAACGAATTAATTATGATAAAGTGATGAAGTGAAAAACTCTGGGCCGCAGCGAGGGGGGGGGGGTTACCCCAACTTTTTTACAATTAACATATTCGGAAAATCGGGTTGGTCATTCGGAAAATTACGTCAATAATAGTATAACAAAATTTTAGTTGTTAAACAGAGAAAATATAATATAATTGTATTGTCAGTATAAATTGATTTACGAAATCATGGCATTTACATGGATATTAACATTTAAAAAATCGTAAACCGGTAAAATATGCATGCATACCTTTATCATTTAAATAATATACCTTTAAAATACTGACAATTGATTAATTTTAAGCGGCTACATTATCCATGACAAACTGCAAAGAATCATATTATCCTTACTTTCCTGCAACTTCTCCATGCAATATATAGTTAATTAAATACGCCTTCGCCCATTTAGTACAGACTACTAAATTGTAAACAAATTGTAAATTTCGACATACTAAAATGCTGTTTTCTGACTTTCAGAATTCTGTTCTAAACTTCCCCAAAGTCCAGGAAATGGCATTTCTGCAGAGACTCTAAATTAAAAAATTTCCTCGGGCCTTTGGCCCTCGTTCTCAGCCCCTAATAAAAAAGAGCTTCCTACGGCACTGCATGCTACTCAGCTACTGTAATATGTCTGTGCGTAGAATATGCATATTTTTGTTTGTAAATTGCATCTTCGTATTCCGGACAGCAAACACCTTCGTGATTAAACTACAAGTAACACATTAAAGTACATTGTCACTTACAAGTATAAATGCAAATGACATCTAAATCTAACAAGTGAACAGTTGCACTTTATCTTCTCACTTCTGTATTCTAGATTATTTGATTGTTAATTTGCGCACGAAATTTTTTTAAATTTCCATGCGAGGGCACGCCCCCCCCCCCTGCGCGTTTTTTTAACTATCAGTCACAGCCGGCTACATTTTCGGTACAACCGCCTACTTCAAATCATTCTGAAACCACTGTTGGCGAGTAAAATCATCTGACCGTTAGACAAGTAAGAAAAATAAGGAGGGCGCATTGCGGCTCAATGGGTTATTAGCACTTAAAAGGGGCAATATTGTAGGACAGTAACCGAGTAGCTTTTCTCCATCTAAAGAAAAACAGTTTTACTTTTACTGTACAGCTATTTCAATTAAGGTAAATTGTTTCTGCATGAGCAAAGTGGAAAAGTCGAATACGAGTGCAAAATTAAGGCTTGCTGGGAATTGCTAAAAAATTAATTAATTTTTTCGCGATTTCCAGCAGCCTTTTGCGCTCGTATTCAACTTTTACACTAATTTGCTCGGGGACAACCTTTAAATTTAAATAGCTGTTAATGTATAACTAAAGTTGACAATCTGGTTCAGGGAATAATTATCACCATATTGGCATTTTTGCAACAAAGAAGAAGTTTTAAGAAAGAAGTTTGGGGAGGTCGACCTGGAATTGTTGTGTAAGTAGTATAAACGATTTCTATAAACAGTACGTATTTATCGTTTTATTTCCTCTGGCTGGCATGGAATATAAAAACGTGTCTTTATTCCATGGCAGTATTTAATGTATTCCAATGTGCCGGTCCCCACTTTACATGAGTAAATGAGTAGGTTCAGATGTCCAGCTTATTATTATGACAAATAAATTTAAAATTTACAACACTTTGACAAACATGCCCGGCCACAGTGGGACTCGAAGGAAGGAGGAAATTAAATTATATGTAAGGAAATTAAATTATATGTAAGGAAGCACTTCTTATTCGATTTACGATGTCTTGTTTATTGTTTTTTAAGAATTATTAAGGACCATGTCTTATTCAGCTGGCAAATTTGATTGTAATTGTGACTGCGCAGAGACTTCAGATTTCAAATTCCCCCAGTCCTGACCTTGCAGGACCCACCCAACATTTTTTTTTTATCATGGTGATATACGGTGATAACGGTGGTATACGGTGATAAGCGCCCCCGCTGCACTTCTGGTTTCACTAGCTATGCCATTTAACATTAAGAAACCATGCATGCATGCAGTGCAGGTAGCATGATATTATAACCCTATTAATGCATGTTAAAATCAACGGCAATTAGTAAAATCATAGGGTTCACAAACTCATTCGTTGCATTGCTGTTTAAATACTAAACGAACATAGCTAAATGAAGGAGCTGCGGGTTTATTAAGGACATAATTACATCTTGTGTAGGCCTATAGATTTCCTTGGCATGGATCATGACCGCCTAGCCATCATGTGCGTGTTTGGAGCTGCTACTGGCTCCATCTTCCTTCTCATCTTTCGAAACAATTCAGAGTACAGAAATGCTTGGGGAAAAGGTAGGAATGAGTTTTTATTCATGCCCAACAATTAGCCGGTGCTTAGAAGGTGATTTAATAAAACACCTGTTAGCAGGTGTGACAAATGATACATATATGTGCCATAAGTAGTTCGCCATAGCCATCTGTGCCACAAAGTGACCATACTGATGAAATGTCCCTCAAGCCTCGAGAGGTTTATAACATGGTAATGCCGGACCTATTACCTAATGAACAAAATTTTGATCTAGACAAGTCTAGACAAAAATTTCATCACAGCTTGAAAGAGCATCACAAAATTAGTAATATTCCGAAGTTTCGTTGCGAAATGTTGTAAAATGCGGATAATATAGCCCTGCGAAGTTGGCCATTTCCAGCCGTCATCTATAGAGTTTCTGAAATGCCAATTCATGCGTTTTGGGCAGAGAGTTTACATAATAGAGAATAGAGAGATAAATATTTAATCATTCACTCACTTTGCAGTACAATTAAGGACCGAATTACATTGTGATGACTATGAATAAATATATGGATAAAAAGTTATGATTACAACGATTGTCGACTATTCATATTTAAAAACTGTCAAAACCTAACTATACTGTAGTATCATAAAAATTAGAATTAGATAAGATATCATATTGATAGAAAATTATTAAATTAAAAAAAATTTAAAACAGTCTGTAGAAAACTTCGAAGTGAAAAGTTTTTCTCCTTACGTAAATCATGACTAGCTACTAAGGGAGACTTTGGTCTAGAAACTAACTCATTAAGTTTATGGTCTGGTCGTTTAGGATCTGGTTAAAACGTTTCACGCACGCAGCATGTCTTCTAGCATGTAATTCCTCCAGTACACTTTTGTTTTTCGATTGAAGCGACATTATAATGCACAAACGGGTACACAGTTCGAAGAGCTCGGTTTTGAACGCGTTCGATTTCATCACTGAGGTATTTTGGTAGGGCATAGGCCATAGTGGAACACTGTTGAGGTGGTATAAAACTGTATGATATAACCTTGTCAAGTACTCTTGCTCGCTTTAATTGCACCAAAAGGTATATCCGTTTGGAGCTCTTGGAGATAATATTATTGACGTGTTTATTACACTTGATGTAATAGTGAGACCAAGTATATATATATATGTGTTATTTTCTTCTGGCTGAGGAACGAAAGAGGCAGAAAATGTTTTTCTCACACACTGCTGGGTGATTGGGTCAAGGGTGGGGTCAAGGTCATCAGAGTCACTTTTTTGCTTGCCTCGTGCTAGCCTGACCTGTGTCGTTTTTGTTGAGCGAAAAAATTGCCTTTGTTGGTAGTCATGCCAAAAGAATCAAATCAACCTAAATCAGACTTAGAGCGTTACGGCGCCTAGATCCGTACAATAGAAGTCCTCGAGAGCGGGAAGAAAATCCAGAACGAAGTTCGCGCCATTCGAGTGACGAAAAAGCAAGGTCGCGTCTTCGCAATCCGCCAGTCGTTCAGAGACTCGTAGTCGCTCACGTTCGCCATCTGAACCGCCACAATGGGCGAGAGAGTTGTTAAAGAATCGGGAGGATTATAGAAAAGAAATGAAACGTCTACAAAGCGAAATCGAGCGTGATCGAGCGTCTATGTCGACGCGGGATTGTGGGCAAACTATGGGTGTTGTTTTGTCTACTTTTTGGTGAATGTTAAAACGAACGAATGTACGTAACGTGAACTGTCAATAATATGCGAATAAATAACTAAAAAATTGAATTGTCAATACCAAATGGCCTGTTAGGGGCACAATGGCCTGTTAGGGGCACAATAGCCTGTAAGGGGCACAATAGCCTGTAAGGGGCACAATAGCCTGTAAGGGCAGAATCGACTGTTAGGGGCAAATGGCCTGTTAGGGGCACAATAGTTTGAAAAGGGGCAAATACCAGAGTGGAGTTCTGCCCATGGTGGCCGTTGTTGTTTACCTGACAAGAATTATGGCAAGCTTTGTCAAAGCCTGTTGCAGAGTTGAACCACACAACAGTTTTGGAACTCAGTTCAGCAACAAGTAGCCAATTGGCTTCGGGTGGCCTGTCAGGGGCGCAATCACTGTGTAATAGCCTGTTAGGGCAGAATTGCCTGTAAAGGGCAAATGGCCTGTTAGGGGCACAATAGCCCGTAAGGGCAGAATGGCCTGTTAGGGGCGGAACAGCCTGTAAGGGACAAATGGCCTGTTAGGGGCACAATAGCTGTAAGGGCAGAATCGCCTGTTAGGGCATTATGACCTGTAAAGGCAAAAATTGCCTGTTAGGGCAGAATGGCCTGTGTAGGGCAAATGGCCTGTTAGGGGCACAATAGCCCGTAAGGGCAGGATGGCCTGTTAGGGGCAAATTGGCTTGTTAGGGGCAGAACAGCCTGTAAGGAACAAATGGCCTGTTAGGGGCACAATAGCCGTAAGGGCAAAATCACCTGTTAGGGGCATTAATGGCCTTTTAGGGGCACAGTATCCTTTTAGGGGCAGGATATATTTGCCTGTTTGAGGCACAATAGCTTGTTCAGGATTGCCTGTAAAGGAAACAATACGTATTAGAGTTACAGTGGTGCAACACTTGGAAGGACTTAATGACAGTTGTTATCACATACATGGTGTATGTGCAGGTGGAGCAGCAGCAGCAGCCACTTTGGGTGTGCCAATCCTGTTTCACTAACATGGGGAGTGACAGCCTAGGACAGATGCTGTGAAGAGAGATTATACTCTTTGTTATTAGTAACAAAAACTGTTAAGATAAGAACACTTAATTAAGAGGCTTCTCCCAAAGCCTCTTGAACACTCTATGCGTTTTTTGCCTTGCGTGTGCAGCATCCCTCAGCTGTGTGTGAGAAGTGTTATTTTCTGCCGGCTGAGGAACGAAAGAGGCAGAAAATGTTTTTCTCACACACTGCTGGGGGATTGGGTCAAGGGTGGGGTCAAGGTCATCAGAGTCACTTTTTTGCTTGCCTCGTGCTAGCCTGACCTGTGTCCCACCCACCCACCCTATTGGCAGGTAGTGCCTAGTTATTATGCAGTTGCAGTAGTGTGCTAACTAGAATTGGGTTTAGTCCAACACGTGATAATTAGTGAGTTGCAGTTTGTACGGATCCGTTTATTGTAAATATGAGATATTTTTGTTGATTAAAGGTCAGGCTGCCTTGCGTGTGCAGCATCCCTCAGCTGTGTGTGAGAAGTGCTCAAGTAGTTGATATTTTAGTTGTGATAGGCCAAAAAAAATATGTGGGTTTCCGGTTTCTTCTTATAAAACTTAGGTGGGGTAGGTCGGTTTTAACTTTTTTTTAAACTTTTTAAATTTTCCTAACAAATGGTGCCATTTTGTTTAGTCAGTGCTTCCACATCAAAAGATAAATTTCCCTATTATTGGCTCAAATTTCAATTTTCCGCAAACTTTTTCCTCTAAGTGGAAACACTTACAAGCATGATCCAATAAAAGAGTTTAGGGTTGGGATTTCGACGTCCAAAAGCTAGGTAGGGTCAGGAAACCGGAATACCCACATTTTTTTTTGGCCTAGTTATTGTTGTGCACTTGCTTTAAATGTTTTTTAAAAAGAAATATTTCATGTTCATAAATAAATTCCAATTGTTCTTTTAAAATATTCAGAGATTTATGCAAACTTGCAAAGGCATAAATTAATCTATTTAGTAAAAATGCTCGAAACACACATAAATGAGTTCATACATTTGTATTGTTCTTCTTTTTTGAATATAACCGAACTGAACCGTGGTTTTTCCATTCCAAAAAAAAACAGGAACCAAGATAAAAAATTTTGGAACCGCACAGCTTTATTTCACATGTGTTTAAAAAAAAAACATTGAATGCGAAAAAATGAAAACGAGTACATTTTATTAAGAAATTTTGATTTGTAAAAAATAAATGTTAGATTTGCAAATGCCAAAACTCGGCTTGCAAATGCCTCGAACCCTGAGATTATCATCACAATAATATTCAAACACTAATAAGGCCAAAAAAAAAATATGTGGGTTTCCGGTTTCTTCTTATAAAAACTTAGGTAGGGTAGGTCGGTTTTAACTCTTTTTTTTTTAACATTTTTTTTAATTTTCCGAACAAGCGGGCGCCATTTTGTTTAGTCAGTGCTTCCACATCCAAAGATAAATTTCCCTAATATTGCCTCAAATTTCAATTTTCCACAAACTTTTTTCTCTAAGTGGAAACACTTACAACCATATCCAATAAAAAAGTTTAGGGTCGGGATTTCGACGTCCAAAAGCTAGGTAGGGTCGGGAAACCGGAAACCCACATATTTTTTTTTTTCCTAATGTCAATGTTTTTCTTTTAGACTAAATCTCAACTACTAAGGTTGTTCAAACTCTTAATTGCATCATGGGAAAGGCGAAGCTTCACATTAACATTGTTGTTATTGGTCATGTGGACTCTGGCAAATCGACCACCACTGGTCATTTGATCTACAAATGTGGTGGAATTGATAAGCGAGCTATTGAAAAGTTTGAGAAAGAGGCGGCTGAGGTAAGAACTTTATTCTTTGATTGGCTCTAAATGTAGGGATTGACATTTTAAATATTTTTTAGTCACCCAAAGATCTGGTAAGTGGTGGAAATTTTGCAAAATATTGGGGGGGGGGGTGCGAGTGCCGAAGGTATTCTAGATGATTAAATACATTTGTGAATGGAATTGCAAGATGGTTTGACAACTCTTTCTCGACAAGTCCCACGTATTGTCAGCTTCTAGAAGCTGAAGACTTTGTATGTTCATATCTTCGGTTCAGTGCATGCTATGAAGACAATACCACCATTCGATTCAGTGAAACAATATCAACTAATTCCTCACGATATCTCCATCACTACTTTTGGCAAATTTTTGGTTGCTATAGACAGTTGCGATATTGAAAAAAATATTGACTATATGTCATGGCGCATTTGGCAACTTGGCTGGCGCCTGGACATTTCGACCCCTGTCTATGTTTTCCTTAGGAAGAATCCCAAGATTTAGAAACCAAAAAGTTCACCTAAGTAACTGCCAATGATAATCTCTGAAAGTCTTTGAATGGTATATTGAGCTGTTCCAGAAATTCTGGAGTGTTTGAAAATATATTGACCATTAAGTCATAATATTATTTTAGATGGGAAAAGGTTCATTCAAATATGCCTGGGTGTTG